ATCCAGCTCTACACCTTGTTATCTCAAGATCTAATACATCTGGATTGGTTTCAAAGCAGTCTGAACGGAGTATACAGTTAATTCACAAATTCTCTCTCCCTGGCCCCAACAATGGCAAAACAAATTGTTACTTACTTTCCAGATCTCGTACACAAACACCATGCAGGAGCACAATGTGCTTGTGAGAAACTTGCCTCATCATGCTGGCTGTCTCAAAGAAAGGCTATGGAGAAAATACAATTTATTTCATTAGTTTCAATATATAAAACTGATCAGTCTCCCAATGATTGAGTTTCTTCGTAACTTCAGCTCATCATTAGTAAAATTACTCAAAATCAGGAATGATAGAATCCCTACAGTGTGGAAGCAGGCCATTCGGCCCATCAAGTCCACATTGACCCTTTAAAGTGCATCCCACCCAGACCCATCCCCTACCCTCTCCCTGTAAGCCTGTATATTCCACAGCCAATCCACCTGACCTCCCATTTTTGGACAGTGAGAGGAAACCCACACAGACACAGGAAGAATGTGTAAACTCCATTCAGTTGCCCAAATATGGAATTGAACTTGGGTCCCTGCGAGGCAGCAGTGCTAAGCACTGAGCCACTGTGTTGGAATAGATTTAAAATAACAAACTTTAAAATAGATTTTCAAATAACACTAAGGTTCTAGTGCTGGAGGAGTGTACAAGTATAGGAAAGGAGGAGATCATAATGGAATTTAAACACAAGAAACAGAATTAGAAATTTAAGCCATTGGGGAACAGAAGTCAATGTGCAGCAGCAAAGACGAAGCGATGAACAGATGAGGCTTGAAGCAGGATGTATGGAGAGGAGATATCTTGGATGAGTTGAGGGAGGTAGGGAATGGCAGCCAGGAAAGTATTAAAATAATTGAGTCTTGGCATTATAAAGACATAAATTTAAAACAGATATTCCAATGTAGGGATTGCAGTAGTGTTGAGGGGATTAATGTTTATTGGGTTAAAATTAAAGCGTATGGTTTTTAAAAGTAAGTGCTGCAGTTATGGTGTTTTGGGAACATTAGTTCAGCAGTTGTAACAATAACCGTTTCAGCATAATATCCATGGCCACAAACAGCAAGTAATGAAAGGAAGCTGAAGGCCAGATAGTGCTGTTGAGCTACCACAGAAATGAGCAGACCCAAGGCTGAAGGTTGAGATAACAGGGTGCTGCGTGAAGTTCAGAATTATAAATGTATGCTGTAAACTCTACTACTGACAAGTTCTTTGGGTGACTGAAATACGTACGCCTAAATAATACTTATGCTTCCTTGACTCACACAAAGTTGCAAGTGGTAAATTTTCACCACAACAGGACGGTAGCTTGCAATGTCATTAGAGGCTCATGTAGACAAGATTTCTGAACAGAATTGAACAGGGAGTTGGAGATTGATTGCCTTTAGTTTACAATTTACATGTTGTTGAATTGTTAAATTTACCTCCCTTCTCTTTGCTCCCCCTGTTGGTTTGGAAATAAAAGAACTGACCATCAAGTTTTAAAGGCTATTTTTCCAGCAGAGGTGGGATCCAGACTAAAATGTGGAGTGTATTGCATATAAAAACATAAAAGTTCAGCTTTTTTTAAAGAGCCCAGCTTTCCCCAGACAATTAAATATTCGTCAGTACATTTTGAATTAATTTTCTGCCAGTAACCTCAAAAGATCTAACTAAATCTAAACAAAGTCACTGACAATATTGCTCACTGATGCTCAGTTTAAGGTCTGCCAGAGTCACAGAGCTCCTGCCCTCACTATAACCTTGGTCCAAACAGACAAAAGACCTGAAATCCAGAGGTGAAGTGAATGTGACCAATCTTGGCATCAAGGCAGAATTTTATCAAGAATGGAATCAAGGAGATCTCATAAAATTAGAACCAATGAAAATCAAGGGAAAAACTTTACATTGATTAGAGTCATACCTTGCGTAAAGGAACATTGTTGCAGTTGCTGGAGATGAATCATCTCAGCTCCAGACATCACTGTAGGAGGACCTCAGGGTAGTATTCTACACCAAAATGTATTCAGCTGCTTCATCAATGACCTTCCCTCCATTATAAGAAGTCAGAAGTAGGGACTTTCACTGATGACTTTACCATGCTCAGCACCACTCACTGCTACTCAGATACTGAAGTCACTTGTGTTCATATGCCCGGACAACATTTGGGCATTAGCTAATATGTGACAAGTAACTTTTGTGCTACACAACAGTCAGTCAATGAACATCTCCAATAACTGTCTCTAACGATTGCCCTGGATATTCAATGGCACTACCATCACTGGATCACCCACGATCAACAGTCTGGGAATTATCATAGATTAGAAACTAAACTGGACTGGCTGTTTAAATACTGTAGCTACAAGAGCAGGTTAAAGGCTTGGAATTCTGTGGTGGCTAATGCATGTCCTGTCCCCTCAGTGTCTGCACAATGCTTAGAAAGTACAAGACTGGACGGTGATGGAATCCTCTCCATTTGCATGTACACAAGAAGCTTGACATCATCCAGGCCACTACACCCAGCTTGACTGGTTCTTTACTGACCACATTCAACAGTCATCCCCTTCTCGACCAAAAATCCTGCAAACTTCAAACTTTCCTCAAATCCACACATCATCCTGACTTGGAACTATATCACCACTCCATCACTTACTGTATCAAAATCCTAGAACTCCCTCCACAACAGCACTATGGATGACCTTACACCACAAGAACTGCAGCAGTACAAGAATGCAGCTCACTACCACCTTCCCCTGGACCATTAGGGATGGGCAATAAATGCTGTAGCAAAGCTCAAATCACACAAATAAAACATGCAGTGCAGTTGTGGCTTACCAGAGAAATGTCTCTGTGACTAGGATCAAGAATTTTGAGCACCACCCGGATGTCTTTCGTACTATAGAAACTTTCATTCTCATCATCATCATCTTTGTAATTCAGTGTCCCCGAATAAATGTTTGTTCTGGTTCCTCTTCCAAGGTGTTCCAACTGGTATTGGGTTAAAAAGAATTAAATATGATACGCATCAGCCTGTGTGTCATGGAATGCACACCCACCCACAAACCGACACACACACACACACACACACACACACACACACTACAACAGAGCCTATGCATTGTTATTTGCCTCTGAGCAATACAATAAATAGCAAAATGGAAGACTGATTTAGGTCAGCATTTGTTTAGGTATAAAAGCAAATGAAAAAGTTGGGGCTTCGGAGCCCCTCTCCCCTCCTATAATAACACTAAGTGAGGGGCAGATGGGTTGACTTTCTGCTGAGTTTCTTATCTCAATCTTACTCCTACAATGAGTCCAATGGTTGGTTGACTGAATCAATGCCAAGCACTGAGTTGCAATAGGGTTAAAATATTGGAGGTTACAATAGGACAGCCAGGATTTTCATTGTTATTCACCATTAGTACACCATCACCAGGACACGACACAAGAGAACATTTGGTGAGAACAACATCAGATTTAGCTGCGATGGGTCTTGGTGCCAATAAAGCACAGCAACATTTACTATTCAGGTTCATATGAGAAATGATCACTTGTCTGAAGTAACAGACAGCCTCAGTCATCTGCAGAACTGAACCCCAACATAAAGCAACAACAGTGTGCCCACCTGACAGATCTCTTCCTTGCGAATTCGGTGGAAGCTCAATTGACTTAAGCTGTAGTTGCTTGCAGTCAGCTGTAAATTCTGGGACTGGCTTTTTGTCATCACTAACAGATTTGAGATTTCTATGGCAAAGAAAATATTAGAAAAATAATTTGAAATCTGCTTCTTACAATACAGACAGCCTATGTACAATCTATTGTGCTTAACTCCATGTACGGAAGAGGCTTTGAAAGAGGAATCTACTTTCTCATTCTTTTCTACAGCAATTGAAACATTGATGCAATGGGAAATAAAACTGAGAATGCTTCAAGTGGGAAACTTTACATGTAAATCAGCTCTGGCACAGTTAAAGGGAACTAGATAATTCCTGATTCACAGGAAGTGAGATGGGGTTTGGATGAGGAAGGAAAATAAAACTAAATGTTTGTCAGTTCCTTAAACAAAATCTAAATGACAGGCTGAGTTGGACAGCTTTGACAAAGCCCCAGGTTCTTACAAGTCTAAACCTTTTCAAGGACTAAGGTCTACACTAATTACTTTATTGAAAAATATTCCTTGATTCACTAATTTGTATTTTCCATAATTAGATATGCCTTTTTATACAGATCGTGATGTTTTACACCGATGACAATGATTGAATGAGAGTCTGTAGACAGTAAGGGAATGAATGTTGAAGACACATCCTAACTCACTAGCCTCTTCAAAAAGTGATTAAAAGTAAAGATGTGCACAACGAGACGGGCCAAGATTCTGGGAAAACATTGTGACGTGGCGAAAATAAATCGATTCATGGAGGGAGGATGGAAAGACAGGAAGAGAAAATAAGAGAGTGTGTGGTTGTTCGGGAGTTGGGGGCGTGGGAGAGAGAGTCATGTGAACAATCAGAGCCAGAGGAACGTTTTTGGGTTTTTTTGTTGGACTACAGGACAGTGCCAGAGTACATAACAGTAATTGTGACCAACCCACATCCACAGCGAGAAGCCTCTGCTCTCATTCCAGGGTTGCCCATCTCAGAAAGGTCAGGAAGGAAGTTTAGTTTATGAAATTAACTCCTGTGTTAAGGATGGAGACTTGTTTCCGATCTCTTCCTCACACCACCCAATATACGAAAATAAAAGGTACCCAGAGGAACCCCCACCCTCAGATATTTGGTTGCTGTAGCTATTTAATTGTAGCCGACAGCAATACATCCTAAAGCACCAGGAGTGAACAAAACATTTTGCCTTGAATAAGAATGGACAACAAAGCAAGTCAGACAGTATGCAATTATAAAATACAGTAAGAGGATGTCATTGTTTAAAAAAGGTACAGATGTATTAATGACATTGCGAGGTGCAAGATTTTAAAAGTTTGGATTTGAGCTAGTGGCATGTGGGTTTGGTCATTGTCTCTGGAGGAGTTTAATGATAAACTTGTAGATATATGTAGCCAGAGTGATCTTACATAAAAATAATGAGTGTGGGTTCCTGGTGTGTTATGAGGTTTTGTTTTCCAACAGTAACGCATTAGACTTAAGTTTAGTAAGTCAGGGATTGATTTTTTTTTTTGTTCAAGGAATGCAGATGTCGCATGGCTGGGCCATCATTTATTATCCATTCCTAATCTGCCCAGAGAGCAGTTAAGAACCAGCCACTTGCTGTGGATCTCGAATCACGTGGGCCAAACCACATAAGGACAGCACATTTCCTTCCCTGAAGGACATTAGTGAACCAGATGGGTTTTTCCTGACAATCGACAATGGTTTCATGCTCAGCATTAATTCTTAATTCTAAGTTTTTGTTGAATTCAAATTTCACCTTCTGCCGTAACAAACTTTGAACCTGGGTTCCCAGAACATCACAAGATTATTGATCCAGGTAATAACACCACTAGAACCATCATGCCCCCTATTTTGAATAGGAGATAAACTCATAACTTAGAAAAAGCTTTGGGTTTCAATTTGGCACGTTTGGCTGATGCTAGATGTGAAAAACATTTGCTCCTGAGAAAGAGAGATAATTTAGAACTGTTAAGAATAGGTTATATCAGTGTCAAGTGTTTAGTTTGAAAACTCCAGATCAGAAGTGTAAAATAGAACATAGAACATAGCACAGTACAGCCCCTTCGGCCCACGATGCTGTGCCGAACTTTTACCCTAAACCTAAGGTCTATCTAACCTCCACCTCTACCTTATACTATCATCCATATGCCTATCTAATAGCCGCTTAAATGCCCCTAACGAGGCCGACTCCACTACCCTCTCCAGCAACATTCCACGCCCCTACCACTCTGAGTAAAGAACCTACCTCTGACGTCTCCACGATATCTACCTCCTTTCACTTTAAAACTATGTCCCCTCGTAAAAGCTACCTCCATCCTAGGAAAAAGTCTCTGGCTGTCTACTCTATCTATACCTCTGATCATTTTGTACACCTCTATCAAGTCACCTCTCATCCTTCGTCGTTCTAAAGAGAAAAGCCCTAGCTCTCTCAACCTTTCCTCATAAGACCTTCCCTCCATTCCAGGCAACATCCTGGTAAATGTCCTCTGCACCTTTTCTAACGCTTCCACATCTTTCCTGTAATGAGGTGACCAGAACTCGGGTGACAAAATCCTGAATGGAGTTATTTAAAGCTGAGAAAATCGAAGTTTAGTTGTATGAAGGCTCAAGGAAGAAGCAATCAAATTCACAAGACTGCTGAATTGAAGCCACAGGTAAGTCAAACCCCACACGACAGAGTGGGAATTCTATGTCTAATGTTTGAGTACTATAATATTGTGTTGGGATGGATTGTGGGTTGTAGTTTGCTGTATGTTTCTAAATCTTTAAACAGGTATTATATGCAAAGAGTTTAATTTATTTTGTCTTCATTTCTTTCATATAATAAACTTTTGTTTATTGCTAAAACCAAATCTACAGTAAAACATGATTATGTTTCAGTACTGCTTTTCTAATCATCTTGCTCGAACCAAAAAATGATGCATCAAGCCAGATTTCAGTCTGGGATCTGATTTATCCTGTAATGATATCAACTGGAACAACAGGAAAACAGTTTTTAATAAATCAACTGAGAAAGACCAGAGTGCTCTTCACAGGCCACTGTGAAGGTGTATTTTTGAAAACAGACTAGAGGAGGCTTTAATTTCTGCCTAACTTTGCAAATGTTTAATGCTGCATCTGGGTGTACACAGTGGGAAACTGTTCACTCGGGAGCATTCTCATTGCTTGTTTGCATATAAACATCATAAGTAGTAAGTGAAAAATTATACCATTGATCAGCGATTTGCAGACAGTATGTGTAAGGAGCATGTTATTTAAGAGTTAGAAACTCTTAGATGAAATGCTTTGCTATTTTGCTAGCAAGTCCGATGCCTGCTAACACCACTAAAAGAGACACCAATCTCCTTAAAGCGGCATTTCGAATAACTACCAGCTTCAGCATAGTTGTTTCAGTATCTGTGCTAGATACTAAATTCAGGAATACATTTGGTAAATAAATGCTTCAAATTCTACCCCCTAAACAATGAACAATAGTTAAATTTAAACCTTCATGCGACTTACAATCTTTGTGGTGTCAAATAAAAGCAGCATGAAACTCCAACCCTAACAAGACCTAGCATAACTTCCTTGAGGACTGAAATCAGGCCCAGATTCTGATCTAGGTTGCAAGTTTAGTTTTGGCGAAGAGCTAAATCCAAAGTATAAATGCACCATCGTGATACTGTATGCAGTTTACCTTGTTTCACTTTGTTGCTTTGTATTGCGCAATTCATGGTCCAACAAGTAATTTCACCACTCAGCTTAGAACAGACTTGCCTCATATTGTGAAACACAGCATCACATAAGTGGATAGAATTGACTCAGCAAGGGTAAACAGCTAATGGTAACAGAACCAAAAGTAGAACTAAGAAACAGTTCAGAATGCAAGATTTCAGTGGGAGTCGCTTCTGCTCAAGTTGGGTCAACTTCATAGACTAAATATCTGGGGTTCCTGAGACGTTATGGTTGTTGTGGAATTCTACAGTGTCAGATGGGGACAGTTGGACAAAAGAGAGGGATCAGGGAAACAGCTAGCAAAACAATAAGTTATAATGGGAGACTTGGTTCTTACATAGATTAGGAGATGCAAACTAAACTAAATGCAGTCAATGAATTTCTTCAGGGCTGAACGTATTCAGGACTATTTTAGAACCAGTACGGGAACAAGCCATACTAGATTCAGGGACGAGTAACAATCTGGCTAAGGAAACATCTTGTGAATAATTAATGTAAGATGACAGAATTTAATGAAGGTTGAGGAGGAGAGAGACACAAACTAAGGTTTTAAAATTAAAGAAAGCTTCGAAAGGATGAAAAAGTGACCACAATAAACTAATCTACAGACATACACCAGGAAAAGTATTCAAATACATTTTTCTTAGAATACAAAATTACTATATAACCTTAAACGTCAAAGGCTCTGGGGCCACAGCGAAACAACTGTGAGCAACAACAACATAAGGCCCATATCAAACTAAATTAACACACTTAACAGACAAGTACAATCAAAACCAGTCAACTCTGAGTAGATGAAGTAACAAAGGGATACAGAATATAAATAATAAGATATTTGAGAGATACAATAAAGTGTAAAAATATTTGCAAGTAACTTGCAAAGCAGCCAGTAGTATTTTTTATACTGGTAAAATCAGTGAGTAAAGAGAAATGTAGGCCATTAATCATAAGGTTTGGTTGACAGTTTAATGTATAATATGGAAATGGCAAACTTGTTAAATGAGTACTTTGTATCATTTTTAGAGAAAATGAATAAAATACCAGTGGCACATGGGAAGATAAAAATAGGTCAAGGGGAGGATTGATTGGGTTTATTTTAAGTAGAAAATTGGAACTACTGGGATTGGAAAACTGCAGACTCTACTCCATTATAAAAGGAAGAATGGAAACTACAAAGTTATGCTACAATTATTTGATAGTTGTGATCCAGATGTAAAAGTATTATTAGGTTAGGAGGCATAGATAAGTTGTGTAAACACAAATCAAGTTACAACAGCAGCTAGACACACTAAATGAGTGCTCAAAACTGTAGCTGATTGGAATTTAATGTGGAAAAATGGAAGGTCATCCACTTTGGATTCAGGAAAGACAAGTAGAATATTTTCTTTGCACTGAAAAACTAGGAACTATGGGGAAACAAAGGGATTTGGATTAAAATCTAAACTACTAAATGTAGAAAACAATCAATAGGGTTAATGAATCTTGTCCTTCATATCAAGTAATGGAATGCAATGGTGAGGAAGTTGTGTGGCAGATGTACATATAGTTAAACTCTAAACTGGTGCAAGTTCCATTTTGGGCATCGCAACTCAGGACAGATATTCTTGCCTTGGAAGTGGTGGATGCAAATTTACCAGTTTCACCAGAATACCACCCGTGATTAAATCATGAGGAGACATTGCCCAATGCGGCATGTACTCCCTTGAGTATGGTCAGCTTAAAAAGTCTTAAAAGGGATTGAATAGGGTAAGTACATCACAATTATTTCTTTTGGTGGAGGGATTCATATAAAGTGAGTATGATCTTAAAATTGGAGCTAAAAGTCATTCAAGAGTGAAATGAGGAAGGACCTTTTCACATAAAAACTGTAAGATGCTGGGTCAACTGAAATTATCAAGCCTGACATTGACAGAATTTTATTTATGGTATCAAGAGTTAAGGGTCGAATGGAGTTGTGCCACAGATCTGCGATGACCTAAATGTACAGCATGCCATTATAGACCATCATCTAAGTAGTCATGTGGATTGTTGATTTGTATCTAAAACAAATTGAACTTTTAAGTCGAAAGGTCAGTCGAGACCAATTTGGGTTAAAAAGATTTCACAATGGTACTCGCTCTTGCGACAATAACTGTATCTCTAGTGAGCACTGGCCCAGATGATTTCTCTGCGCTCGTGTATCTTTTTTTGCAGCTATAAGCATAGATAATTTAAAGTTCAAAAAGTAAAATGTGTACGCCTGTTAAAAGGACTGTGTGGGCGTACGTGTGGGACTGCATATGTGTGTGTGTGGGCTTGAGGAGTGTGTTGGTTTCTATGTGTGGGTTCAAAGGAGGAAAGGTGCACACATGTGGCTTCGTACATTGTCAACCCACAAATCTAGATACAGACTACACATTACTTATTGGCAATTCATTTTAACAAATCAATACTGAATGCATATTATAGCTCCATGTGTGAAGTTGTGCAGAAATAACAGCCATGAACAGTGGGTTGCGAAGGAGGTCTTAACCACATTGGATTTAAATATAGATTCGAATATGGACAAGTACAGTATTCATAATCTTCAGAATATTAGCTTAGAATTTACAACATAATGAACTAGTAGTTTCCTCTGAAGGAACAATAGAAACATATTAAATTCCAGTTCAAGTCAACCAGTTCCTGCAGTCAAACTGGAAACAGAATGTTGGTAAACATGGTAAGACTATATTAACTGTATCCTTTCTGCACTTAATATTATTCTCAAAAATTTAAGGCAGAAAGATGTGTGGGAGGTGAGGAGATCAATGATACTTTTCAAATATGAAAGACTAAGCATAATATATCACATTTGAAGGTTTCCTGAATTTGAGTTCAAGGAAGATAGTAGTCATTTAAGCAAATTATCCAAATAAACCTCCAATGTGAAAATAACTAAGGATTCTGAAATACAGCTGATAGGGTGCAGCAAATCACACCAGCCACGTCTAAAGGTCAGTCAGATCAAGATATTTCGATAAGGAGTTTCCTTTTGCAGCAAGCACACAAAGAAAACAAATTCCTCAGACCCCTATGCACAAAACAAAGTTGAACTAAAACATTAAATATTTAATGGACAGAATTTAGTATTGTTGACCACAGTCATTAGCTAATTTAGTCATGCTCTTCACATCTTTAAATCACAGTAAAAACCTTGTGCAAATTAATTAAGTAAATCTTCTAAAATAATCTGTTCTCAATATAATGTAGCAATTAGTGACCATGGCAATCTATTAAATTTGTAAAGAAACTGTTTGATACATCATGGATATTACAGAAGTGTCAGATACAGATTTCTATAGATAGACTTTGTAACTTATGCCTACCATCCATGATTGATTAATGATGTCTGCCAAAGAAAATTTTAAAAAGCTACGTTGTACCACTATGTGAAAGTAAAAGATTGAAAGACTTGTATTTATGCAGTGCCTTTCATGATCACCAAATGCAGCAAAATGTTTTAAAGACAATGAAGTATTTTTGAAGCGTAGACATTGTTGTAAAGTAGGAAATGCAGCCAACTTGCAACCAGCAACTGCCACAAACAGCAATGTCATAATAACCAGTTAATTTACTTTTGTGATGTTGCCTGTGGTTTAGTCACCAGGATACTGGAGAGAGGTCCTTGCTCTCCCTCAAAATAGTACCATAGGAACTTTTATGTCTACCCAAAAGGGTACATGGGTCTTCTTTTAACATCTTGCCAAGAAACAGCACCTCCAAATGTGCAGCAATCTCTCAATACTTCACCGGAGCATCAGCCTTAGCTTTTCTGCTCAAGCCTGGAATGGGACTTCAACCAATAACCTCTTTTTCAACAGAGTGTGCTACCCGCTGAATCACAGCTGACACACATGGCATTTAAATATCAGTGTCACTTACTTTGAACACAGTTTTTTTCATATATGTAAGGCACTGAATGTGCAGCTCTTTTTAAGAATGAATTGTTGGAGGGGTATTGGTAATGTCAATAGACTATGAAGTCAGAGTCTAGGTTAATATTCTGGAAACATAGTTTTAAATTCTACTCTTGCAATTGGTAAAGTTTAAATTCAACCAATGAGTTTGGAATATAAAGCTAGTCTCTATAATGATGATTGTTATCAATGTTTTAAAAACCCCATCTGGTTCAGTAGCGTTTTTCCAGACAGGAAATCTGCCATTAGGCTGGTTTACACGTGATGTCACAGCACTGCATTTGACTCTTAATCACCCCCAAGTGTGATTAGAAATGGGAAACAAAATCATCTCATGAAAAAAAATGAAGAAAAAAAATTTTGCTTTTGGCCAAACAAGACAAAAAGGTAATTGGGAAGTCACAACATTTGAAAAGCATAGGGTGACATTCATACAAATATTAATTCATCCATCTCTTACAGTTTACAGAACGCTCCTGCCTTTCTTGGAGTTTTGTTTTTCTACATATCCAACATTCATGACTCTCACCCCCACCCTGATTTTATCACTGTTTATCTGGATGGGTGTGCCTTATGAAAAAATAACTCTCAAATACATAATCCTTGCAAATAAATGCTGTTTACAGCTAAAATAATATGGATTAATTTAGTTTGCTGCTTCAATAAAAAAAACTGTACAGTTCAGTTTTATTTTTGCACTTTCAAGCAATTAAACATACCTAATTTTATATAAAAATACTGTTTGTTCATAGCCTTTCAGTGGTTTGACATTATACGTGGTGAGTGTTGAATAATCAGCAGCTAATAAAACTAAACTTTTTTTAAAAGAAGAAATGTATTTGCAACAAAGCCACAGCAGATCAGAAAACTAGGAAATAATAAAACATCACATTTGAGACTTAATTTTGCTGTGAAATAATTTCACAATTTTTCATACTGAGCTTTCAACTGAAATGATTTTTTGGGAGGGGAATTTTACTTATCTCATTTAGGCTAGCCACACTTGGACCATGAAGGGGAAAAAGTCATTGATCATCATCCAGCTCGTCCACTTTGAAAATGCATTTCCATAGAGTGGACAGGGCTTGGTTCAGCTGTGAGTTCCTGCACAGTCCATTAACACTGATACTCAGACTAGACCTATATGTGAATACTCAGCATTTGACAATGATAAATTGACAAATGATAAATAATGATAAACACCAACTGCTATCTCTATTAACTAATAATGGCATGAATGAGTGATTCAGCAGCAGATGAGCTGAGGCAAGGGCAGAGTTGGAATTAAGTGGTCTTACACATATGGTTAGAAGTTCCTTTTAAGGTCAAATATGATGCCAGGATTGTAAACAGCTGGGTTTAATCTCATACAGTTGAGAGGGAGAGGGAGAGGGACAGGGACAGAGTCAGTTGCAAGAGAGTAGAGTTTGTGGTGGGACCAAAAGGTAATGAATTCAGTTTTTCTAAGATTTATTTGAAGAAAATTGCTTCTCATCTGGTACTCAACATTTGAGCAGTGTACCAACTTACAGACAGCTGACGTGTTGAGAATGCTGGTGCTGGTATTAAAGTTTGGTTTCATCATCACGCATGTGTAAAATATCAAGATTTTGAATGATGTCACCAAGAAACAACAGAGAGATGGGAAACAGAATTGGACCAAGATCTTTGGCTTACCACAGATAACAGTGTAGGAATGGGAAGAGAAGCCATTGCAGGGGTGAAGAATGAACAATGGAGGGGTGTTGTGGCAGGATTGTATGCTCAACTATGTCAATGGCTACAGATAGCTCAAGGACAATATGGACAGAAAGTTTATGCAGGTCATAGTCAAATAATGTATAATTTGTGAAATGAATAGGAGGCCAAATTTTGTACACACGCAAGGACAGAAATCGCACTGGAGGGTTTCAAACATGGAGTTCCAATAAGGATGGACATGGTTTCTTAATTAAGGGTAGTAATAATTCATGCAGATTCTATATACTCACCTCTTGGTTTTGGTGGACAGCAGGTTTTCAGCTGGAAGCTTACATCCTCGGTTTTAAGAATCTGACCTTTGAGATGACTCATGAGTTCCTTAAGGTTTGTGAAATAGCTCTCAGAGCCATGCAGCTTGTAACCTAAATCCTTACTCACTTCGATCTGAAAGTTCTTATACTGCTTTGTTGGTCTCGAACCACTGCTTCCATCACGGAAATCAATGCACTTGAAGAAAAAAAAATTGATCTGTGAGATTAATTACCAAGTGTTTGTTACCGTCTGTTTCCTAAACAGGAAAGGTTGAGGATGGTGAAATTGTTTCCTGTGAAAAGTACTCACTTCTCTATAAATCTACTGCACTTGACATAAAATACACATTTCCTTGAACGTTTTAGAACAAGCGAGACCTGTACTTAATGTGACTCCTTCTTCTGATTCACTCAGGTGAAAGAACTTACAGGGTTCACTGTTTGTAACCTCCAGCAACTCCACTGACTTTTGTGAGAATCAGGAACAATTCAATAGTGCTAACCTTCCCCTCTCCAAAACAAAGGAAAAACTGTTGGATTGAATTACTTGGGTAGTGGATTTTTTGTGACCCATCGGTCTGAAAGCTGAAACACCAGTACTCACTGGTTATTATACAAATCAATGCTATCCAATTTTTCCTGTATGCAGGGTGCTTTGTAAATTCTGACATATTCTTAAAACTGCCCAAATTCCTGAAAGTATTGGAGTCACCATGGTTACCAGCAACTTGCTGAAAAGATTTCTCCTTTTAGTCTGCAGGTGGTCAGGGAGAGTTGCTCCAGGTGATACAGCAGAGGGGAATGCAAGGTCAAAGTGGACAGCTTCCTTGTTGCAGGTACAGCATATACTTCTCACCTCTAGATCTCCATCAGGATGCCCGGTGCACAGTTTCACAAATGCAGCACTCCCTCACTTGGTCCCTAAACATGCCACTTTATTTCAGAAATCTTCCATGGAGGTTAGTACTCACATATATAGTCTCTGGAAATGATGTGTAATCATCACATGTGGAGGTGACTGCTTTAACACTGTCTAGCAAGTTCAGATCACGCTAGTCAGCAATTAAGACAGGAGTTTTAAACAACCCAGCACTCATTTAGAAACTAATTTCACCCTTTTACCAATATTACCCAATGTTACAGTGAAATCAATAATATTGCTTCCCTTAATAATAAGTAGTGCTGCTATACTGGATGCTTTATGTAGTTGTGAAATGGTGCTTTTTAAGTCACGGTGACACAAGACAAGTCATACAATTGTGTTATGTGGCACTATCACTCTGCTAAATGGGACAGACTTTGAACAGATCTAGCAGCTCAGAACTGGGTATTCCTGAAGCGCTGTCGGCTAAAAGCAGCAGAACTGTATTCCAACAGCATTATGGTTCTACCTACAGCATGTGCACTGCAGCAGTTCAAGAAAGGAGCTTACCCACCACCTTCACAAGGGCAACTAGGAACTGGAAATGAATGCTGACCAGTCAGTGATGCTTATGTCACATGGGTGAATAAAAACAAAATCCCTGCGCAACAGCAGTTGGACTTTCACCAACTAAAACAAAAACTAGCAAAGTTGCTATCAAAGCAGCAGTGCAACATTTCTGGAACTAGTATGAAACAGATTGAACTTCCTCACCCAAGAGTTGGGATAGTTCCCAACTGCACAACTTTTCAGCTGCACAAACCCAATCTGGAAAATTGCCTGTAATATCAAATTTTTGTTCTGAGTTAGCTAGGGTTGCTGGAAGTTCTTACACTGATCTATGGGAGCAGCTGTTGGTCCTGGGTGAATGGCCTGCTTTGATATACTGGCACTCTGCCAGAGGTTTTTAAACAAGCATTAAAACAAAAAGGAGAGCCCTTACACTCTCCCTCCCCAATGTACTCATCAATGTCCCATCCATGTCAACTCATGGCAACTAATGTCCTCCCCCACAAACTCATACTTTCCTTGATAAACAATCCCTATTTGCCCAACCTCTGTGATGCACCCCTCCAACGAAACTTCCATGCCAACCTATACTTTCAGCCCACCCCATTCAGGCCCTCATACCAATGCCAAACTGTCCTCCACCCAACAGGACCCGTACACCTACAATCACAAATCATCCAGCATCCACCATGGGCAGACCTCAGGACTCGTGCTGAGAAGAGATAAGATGAAGTTTTTACCTGTCCAATTCATTGTTATTGGTAAAAAGCACTCTCTCTGATAAAGACCCATTCATTATATTTGATTTGTCTAAAATGATGACTGGGTCTTGAATATAGAAGTCCTGGACCCATTTCCCAGGGATCCCATTTTACCCACAAATGGAAAGGTCTGGGCCATGATTCACACACATGGGAAACCAGGACTCAGATGGGACATCTGAGGTGAGACAGACCTCAGTTTCAATGGAACAAGAGCTTTAAACTGCAGTGTAAGGGGTACAAATTTTCAGAGTAGTCATAAGTGGACTTGAAGTGTATAGAAGGTCTGTAGAACTGTCAAGTTGTGAAGTTTTTAAAATTCCCAGTCCTTTATACATTACAAAACAAGGGCTGCTTGACTGAATAGATGTGAAAATAATCTAACCTAGCATTTATAAGAACTGTTTGTTGAGGTTAACCTAGGACCTATCATTATTAATGCTTTGCGGTTTTCTAGAATTTATGATTATTCCAGCAGGGATTCCAGCACCATTAAAGCTCAGACTCATTATTGAAGGATATGTATTTGATGCAAAGTTATGTCCAACAGTCTGTTCATTTTTATATAGATTTAATTATCTAAGGGTATTTAAAGATTTTGAATGGTCTTTCATGAAAGCAAGTGTTTTCTTCACTACAGTGAAGACTCTAGCAAACATTTAGAACTTTATTTTATTTCAGCTCAACACAGATCCTGGGGTCTGCCTATTGTGGACACTAAATGAGTTGGCTTGGAGGCTATAAGAGGAAAGAGTAGCTGATGATTGGCATTAAATTGACATTGAGGCTATCATGGACCATGAGGGCTACAACAGACCATGGAGTTGGGCGGGAGGTATGATTTCAACCATGGGAGCTGGGGGAAGGAGAATGAATTGGCTTTGAAGGTAAGATGGTCAATGTAGATAAATGGGAGACACAAGTTGGCACGAATGGGGCATGGGTAGTAGGTGAGGGCTAAAGGGCCTAAAATATGTGCAAACAACATGATAAAGTCCCAGAGAACAGAAATGAATAAATTAAACAGCCAGCTCAATACTAAGTAGCCCCTGTCGTTGCCTTCAATCCGGGAGCAAGCTCTATCTCGCAGCTGCCCAATGGATCAGAGATCCTACCATATGGGGGGACTTTGCCTGAGATGGGCTTGATGAAAGGAAATTTGCCAATGAGCATTACCCACCTCAGGAGTGGGAATTGAAGCCCATGTCTCGAATGGGTTTTGAAATTTGATTTACTTCTTAAAACCAAAGGATCTGATAGAGTACCTTTAATATACAAATTACAATCCCAAACTTTCCTTCCTTTAAGATGAGAAAGAAAGAGACAAAATCAATTGTTCAACAGAGTTCTTTCAATTGTTACCTCAGTGGTTCCACTGCATGCAACTGTCATGAGGATGTGGTTGAAATCTGTACAGCTCCAACGCAACACGTACATGCCATCCTCATTGCCTTCATGTTTCAACTTGTTGATAGCATATTCAGTACTGATAAGAATAAATTGTGAAGAGGTCATAATTATGGTCCACATTTAATAATGTTATAAAGAAAGGTTAAAAGGAATTGGGCCTTGAACATTTAGAAACATGGAATTGGCTGAATTCAAAGTTAAATTAAATTAGACATTAGCAAAGGGCTCAAATTAAAAATTAAGAAGTTAGATAACAGTGTTCTTATACGAGATGACAGCTATTGATAAAAACCATCAGAAAAAGTCATCAAAATCATTAGTAGAATAGGGACTCAAAAGTATTACAGCAGAAGAAAGAGATCAAAAACACTTGTAGCTTTAGCACCCTGTTTAATCCTGAACGTAGTTTCAGGCCATTCATCACAACAACTGCTTCACTCCATATATGCCACCACCCATACCTCTGCTCCTTCTGGTGCTCTCTTTGCAGTCCTACCTTCATCCACTATCTAGAAACGTAACCTGTGTAAAGCTCTGCTTCATACATTTATTCATTGACCTACGTTGGCTCCATTTCCCAACACATTAACTTCAAGTCTTCATACACAAGTTCTCTTTGTGGGCTTGTGTGTTATCTTCTCCAGCCGTTCGACAGTCAAGGCACTATCTTTGAATATTCCTGTTACAATATTTTGTAAATTACTTCATATCAAACCACTATGAGGAGTGAAGCTTTGGACTGCAGGTTTCCTCCCTCAAATTCCCCTTTTCCAATAATTAAAATCCATCTGTCTCCACTTCAAAAAGCACCACAATCCATCTCCTCAAGCAAATGATTTCTCACAACTCATGTGAAAGGTACATATTTGCAAGTGCTAAATAGATCCAAGTTATTGACGTTGATTTGGTAAATAAAATTTCTCTGGATTTGATACACACAATGAAGTATTTAATTCTTGAAACTGAATCACAAGGAGGGAGGAAAGTAATTCTAGAACTGGAAAGCACGTTGACAGTTGTGTATCTAATTAAACATCAAGTCGCCAATCTTCTGTTGAACTTCTTCACTTTTATATGGTCAAACTGGTGCTGATTTTATTTTAAAATATTGGGATATGTAACTGAAAACAAAGGCTGTAGAATAGCACATATCATGTCTGAAAAGGACAGAGGAAGACAACAACTTAAATGAGGGAAGAGTGATTAGGTGATACTAAGTTTGGATTTGAAAAGACCAAAGATTTTAAAGAAAGTTTAAACATTCAGTCAATTTTGTTTTGAATGCTGAATCTGGAGGCAAAAGGAAAAATATGAAAAACTGTAAAATTGTGAAAGTGGAGAAGATTGTTACTGGTGTGTATAAAGACACTTCAACAGAAGGATTATACAGCTCAACATGATCATATTCCTTCCACATTATCAACTGCAAGTTAAAATAATTCTACAATTTTTACAACAAAAACGAGAGAGAGAGAGAGAGAGAGAGAGAGAGAGAGTTAAAAATTTTTTAAATTCCAGTTTACCGTATCGGTCCATGGCAGCCATTTTTAATGTTGTGCACCACTAATGGAGGAGCCACTTCTGTGCACAGGTAGTGGTGGGCATCTACTGTTAACCGGAAGTAACCATCAATCAAGGACACCAAGGAAAGAGCTTCTTCATAGGAGGACAGCTTCAGCTCCTAAAACAAAAAAATACACCCAAAAAGCTTTTAACTTATTTTAAAAATGGACATATTACTTTAAAATGTGCCCAATGTGGGATGACATATTCATAAGTCACAAGAGATTTTTTTTTAAAGGCAGTGTGAAAAATAAGGAAAAACTGTATTCAAGCTGGCTTCTGATTATGGTGAAGTTGGATAGCTGATGAGTTACATTGTGATATGAAGTTTGAAAATGATTTTAAGAAAAATACAGTGAAGTTCTTCTGTTGGCTCAATGGTCCACCAAACAGGTTTGAATGAGATCATACAAGACACAATTAGAAACCTATCGGAGATAATCTCAACTGATGACAATGGAGCACTAAAAATCGGTGTCCACAAAGGCTGCAACTAGCATTCATGTCCCTGACTGTTATTAAGTGATCGATACGGAGAAAGGTGCATTTGTGGGCACATTTGAACTCAGTCACAAAATCCTACTTGATGAAGCAGCCTGTCGACATTTACTTTCCTGTTACTGATATTTACATAAAAATGCTAAGTGCACATATATTAAACTTTACTCTGCTTTTTTCAAAATTGTGGCATTAACCCATTTACTTTAAGCAATCTAATGATTTTGGTAAAGTAATAGATTGGAGAATTGGACAAAACGGATTAAACATTCCCATTGTAACATTATCAACAATAATTTCTATCTAAAGCTGTCCAAATTCACATATGGAGAAGGTAGGTGAGATACTCGAGACTCAATGGCACCATGAATCAACACTGGAGTTGGAGAGGAAAAGTGAAAAAATAATGATTGTTCTTGTTACACGCTCCATGTATCAGACTCAACTTCTACAACTAAATTCCAAGAGTTGCAAGAATGTAATATTTATCACAAAACTGTTTAAAACAAACCTTGAAAACAAAAGGTACTACCATTGGCAATAAAATTCAAGTTTGGTAGGCATACAAAATAGGTGCTAATTCGCCCTTCTACTGCTTCGTCAGAACAGAAAATTAAGAGAGCTTTACAATAAGCAGCTGTCAGCAGGTAGTATGAAAGTATTTTAGGATAGAAAGGTGGTCAGTTTTGGAGGAACCAAGTTCTGAGGAATGTGGTGCTTGAGGTTATAAAAATAGAGAGGCTTACATTAACATTAAGAGATTTAAACGAAACAATGAGCATTTTAAATTAGAAGCACTGGGAGCATAGAAACTAATGCAAACTGTTGAGTATGGGAGTGATTGGTGAATAGGATTTGCTGCAGTTTTGAGACAAGCTGAATATGGAGGATAGGCAACCTGCTCGAAGAACATCGGGATATTAAATTTAGGAGAAATACTAGGTGATTTCACGAAATGGTGAACTAAAGTGTTGGTGACAGGTGAAGCTACAGAGATGCAAGTATGCAGTCCTTCTGATGGGTAATACATGAAGAAGTTTAACACAAAGTCAAATAGGACGTGAGGTTGTAAATAATTGCCTTCAACTGGAGAACACTAGCCAGGAAGGGGGATGGAGTAGATGTTGTGTGCACTGATTTTATGGAAGGCACTGAAGTTTTAATCCGCAATTTTTAATAGGAGAAAATTACAAAGCACCGAGGAATGCATGTTAGACAAGCAGGCAGACAACTGAGGTAGTGGAAAATTTTAGACAGTTGGTGCAGAAGAAAAGCTGGGATAAGCTTAGTGAATGTGGTCTTCACATGATGTGACTGAGAGGCAGCATATAGATTAGCAAGAGGAGGGCCGAGAATAGATTCTTGGAGGATTCTAGAGGTAACGGTAAAGGGATAAGGAGAGGAGCTACTGCTGTTGATGCTCTGGCAACATGATCATTATAGGTCAGTCCAACTCTGCTAAATAACAGAGGAATATGGTTTGAGAATCAACCGTACCAAAGCCTGCACAGACATCAAGAAAGACAAGAAGAATTGCTGCACCGTGGTTACAGTGACTGCAAATGTCATTTGGAATGGCTGTAGATAGTAGAAGACATTCTACACTGATGCAAGTAGACAGAGTACAATTTTGAAGAAAGCCAGGAGAGAGCTGTGGGAACTTTACTGTGTAAATGCCTGGGAGCAGTTGCTATGTGATGAAAATGGGTGGAATATTTCATAGCCTAAATTTTTAAATGCTGGTTGATCAGGAAATTCACCTGAAAAATTTCATATTCTCTGCCTCTTTCTCGTTTTCCTCCATTCTGAATTTGGCAGTTATAGCAGTGAAAATCTTTCACATGTCACTCACCAGAATGTAGAAACTTGCTCAAATTCCAAATGAGTATCCTTTCAGTAGCAACATTATAAAATTCAAGCACTTCAAATACACAGCTGAAGTCTCTCTTCATAACTGACACCTCTAATAATCACTCATTCAACATAATGGGACGTAGTAGGATTACTGGAAATATATTTTCACTTCATTTCGGACAAAATTGAACAGTCATAGGATTTAGCACCTAAAACTTAAGAACATTGAACACAGAACAGGCTATTGAGAGGCTCAAGCCTCCACTGCCATTGTATTAAACTATAACTAGTCTGGATCTAAACATCATTTAGTTCCCTTTGTTTTATTTCCCTTGATAGCCTAAATAGTATTTACTGCCCTAGATCACTATGGAGTGATCCTTCCTGAAAAGGTGCCTGTCTGCTTTTTAAAAAAAACGATAAAACCAAGCTTGACTGCAAGATTTACCTCTCCCTCTTTCTACAGCCTTAGTGTCGGAATATTTGAATAGAGAATGACTGATATCACAGAAAGGTAATCCAGCAACAGTAAATAAGATTGGGTGACAACTAGAGAACAATGAAATAACCTACCAGCTTTTTGTTGTCTTGTTTATTGATGACGACAGTAGAGTCCTTTATGACAATATGTGTGATTTCATAGAAGTGTGAAAACAGATTCCACTCTTCACTTAGAATTCCTTTGTTTTCACCAGACTTACTCTTTTTGCTGCTGCTTTTGCTCTTCTTCAATTTATTTTTCTCTTTCAAATTCATTGCAAACTTTAATAGGGAGAAAAAGGCAGTGTTATAAAACATCATTTAAACTGAGTAGATGATTAGCTAGTTTTTGGTCTTAAGGTCCACTGAACCTTCTGACAAAGTAGTAGGATATTGCTGACTGCCCCATTGGGACGAGCTCAACATGTCAATCTAGTAACTATTTGTGTCAGCATCTGTATTTGAATCATGCCCATAGAAATGGCACCTCGAGGTTTTCCAGTATGATTCTGGAGTTAGCTGATAGAAGGCATCTGACACATCTTCCTTTTCAAATTCCACTAATTCTTAAAAGAGTTCTGTTGTTGTTTTGCTCTGGAGAGCAGAAGTGTTTTTGGAGAACTTACATCAGAAAGTTAGTTATTGAAGTACAGCTCATGATAGCATAAACTGAAATGAAAATGTGAAAAACAAAACAGCTTAAAATTAATCAGATTGCATTTTCACATTAAAACAATTCAAGTGCAGAATGCACGTGGAGTCCTTAAAATATACCATCAATTTTGCGATTTCAATGTTTGGATTTCCCCTCAGGCTTTCAAACACTAATGTTTATTGTCCTCAAATACAAGTGGAAATATTTAGGTTTGAAAGTCTGTCCAACTTCTTAGTTTCACATGTTGGGGCTATACATGTAGAAGTTAGAAGTTTCTTCCTCATTGGAGATTGCACTAGCTTTTTTGAAGCTTTATTTTATATAATATACATATTTGTATATAATACATATACACATATATATGATATATATGTTCTGTATACAGAAACCCGGATTTTAATTTAACACACCCACTGGCAGTGAGGCACCTTAAAGTCAGACCTCAATACAGTGTAAGATTGGGTAGAATTTACATTGATTGTCAATTCCAATATGGCCATTTCTCACATGTGCGCTGTATTAAAATTGGGGCTCAAATCTTTCTGGAGATGCCAACTAAGACTATCGCAATTTATATTCTAGTCATATCAACATGCTATTAGCAGCAAAGCATTTCAATACTCTCCCTCTTTCCAGCTGAAAACTCTCATATTGAAAACACTTTACCTTGAGTTGACAGAGGAAGTGGTTTCAGTAAAAAAAAACACCACCACTTCCTTGTAGCAGCAGATAATATACATGTAGAAAGAGTCTTACACATCTTATTACAAATAACAAAAGCTTCCTTGAACTGAACATTATTAATGTGGTTGTCAGTAATAATTCATATTTTCTTGACATGCTGTGGGGGATGGGGGGCAAACTTGATCTTAAAAAGTAACACAAAATGAAACAGAAATAACAAACACCCTGTTCTACAACCCACCCAAATCCTCGTAGCCACAGAAAGTTCAGTGAAGATCAATTTTTCTCAGGTATTCTAGGGAAAAGCTCCAGTGACAAACAAGGGGATCTTGGTGCTTAAAACAGGAATTGTATAGTGTCTGACAGTGAAACTTGTCTCCAATCTCATACTTCTGTGTTTTCATTCAATGGTTTGTTTTTGTTTTGTGGAATATTGTGCAAGGACATATCTGGCTGCAAAAGATCCTGAGGGAGAGATTGCGCACAATATGAAATTAGCAGTTTGATCTCCTGTCACATGGTGCTGAGTGTTCATGAACATTTTTTAAAAAAAAAGCACAACGTGTAGCAAAAACTAAAATATGGCACACTAAAAATGCAGAACTTTCACAAAAATATTCTAATAACTGCTTCCCACTTCCATCAACAGCACTGTATGCTTTGTAGACACACGATTTCATTGGTAGCAGAGACTAGGACCCGAGGGCACAGCCTTAGAGTAAAGGGAAGACCTTTTAGAATGGAGATAAGAAGAAACTTCTTCACTCAGTGAGTGGTGAATCTATGGAATTCACTGCCACAGAAGGCTGTGGAGGCCAGGTCATTGAGTATATTTAAGACGGAGATAGATAAGTTCTTGATTGTCAAGGGGATCAAGGGTTACAGGGAGAAAGTGGGAGAATGGGGTTGAGGAACTTATCAGCCATGATTGAATGGCGGAGCAGACTCGATGGGCCAAATGGCCTAATTTCTGCTCCTATGTCTTATGGAGATGATCCCTACTCTGAGTTAAGTTAATTGATTACAGTCACAGTAGTAGAGGCAGTGCTAAGTCATCTGAACTCTAAAGGGGAGTAAATTATCTTCTCTTAATTGCTATTTAGTACCTTTCTCCATATCAGCACTAGCACATTGTATGGTACTTTTTTTACATTCAGCAATAAAAAAATCCAGATTTTTGAGTGATTTGCATAGGGCAGCAGTACAGGAAACAGGTTGTTAGACAATACAATGTGGCACGCATATGTAGGATATTAACCCTGCAATGGGTAACCAAATTGTGCAGACTATTTCAGAGCCTGCCCTCTGCCTTTCGATCTGTTGAAAGATCTGCTACCTTTTAAACTTGCAAGACACTGACAGGAATACGCAATGTTATTATACTCCCGTGGTTGAATATTGCATTGACACATTCTGTTCATAAGGATGACTGACTCTGGAGGACTACAATAGGAAACTTTCTTTCAGGAAATGATCAGAAAAAAACATGTTTTGAGTTGGCAAATGAGCTCTTACCTCTTTTGGTACACGTCTCCATTTTATTCCTACACTTCCTGTGATCATCACCTCATGTTCTGTTTCTTTTTGTTCCTTTTCAAAGGGCTCATGGTTGGACATTATCCGTTCATTTTCTGCTGAGATCAAAAGACCTGTGGGTTTATATGTTTCCATCCCAAAATTCTTTGTCAAGGACTCCAGGGTAGCCAAATACTTGACTTTGAGATCATGAGGGGATACGTTGCTATCGCAGACTGTCCTATTGTTGAATTCTTTCAGGAAATTTTTGAACACGTTATTGATTCGACACCTGGTCAGGACGTTTCGCTGTTTGATGCTTCGATTCAACGTTTCAGGAATGTAATGCTTGTAACTGAAAGAGGAAGGAAAATGGTATTTTCCAATAACATACTTTTTACCTGTCCTTTATTTTATCTTTTCATAGTTAAATAACACTAATTCCCATTACTCTTGTTCTTTTTAACTCATTGCAACAAGGTATGATACCTTAGTTCTTCTAATCAAAATTAACTCAATGGGATATGGTGTCAATACTTAATACACCACAATATAATAACACTACAGTTTGTGAGGTTTGGTGTTGTAGCCCTGGATACTCCAAAACACTGTTATAAATCAACCTCCTTCAGGTTTGTGTACATATGCCTTAAGAGGCACAATCTGAATATTATGAAGAAGAAAAAAAACACTGAAAATATATCCTTAAAAATAATGTGAAATTCTGTCAGAGATTGAATGCACAAGGTGGACTTTAAAAGTTAAGATGCATCGGATCAATAATCACACTGCAGTCAATGTGACAGAAATAGCTTCAAAAACAATACAGACATGAGGGGAGAGACGCATTTCTTTCTAAAGCTACTAGTGATCAAAGCTTTGACAGCTGAACAAACTTTGAATGTGGTCACTGAAAATTTGTGGCCCATCTCCCTTTTATGCCTGCCTTCAGGAGGCGTATTCTTTCATGTCTCTGGGCATGCTGTCTACACGAAACTGACTGACAATTTCTTCCTACTTGGGACGTACCTTGGCCACCATCTTAAACACTCGCTCCTCCGACCACTTACATTTAGTGACATCTGCGTATCATCTTCAACATACACTGCAGCAACTCCCCAAGGCTCCTTTGACAGCACCCTCCAAACCAATGACCTCTACCACCTACAAAGTCAAGGGCTGAAAATGCATGGGAACTTCATGAACTGCAAGTTCCAACACTTACACATTCCTGACTTGGAACTAATATTCTTTCACAAGGTATTCTTTCACACCCACTGTTCCTAGGTTAGAATCCTTTCCTTTCTAACAGCACTCAATGTGGGTGCCCCTACACTCCAAGGACTGATGAGGTTCATGAAGGCTGCTCACCACAGCCACTTTCTCCAGGGTAGTTAAGAATAAGCCTTAAATGTTGGCCTTGTAAATGAAGTTCACATTCCATGAACAAATAAAGAAGTTGAACTTTAGCACAAGTGCTGCTGAAACCTTTGCTACATCTAGATATGACTATTCAAACACGTTCCTAGCTGGTCTTTATCTTCCATAAACAGGAGATCATTCAAACTCTGATATCTTAAATTGTACCACACCCTGCTCATTCTCACTCCGGTGTTGACTGAACTGTATTGGCTCCCAGTGATACAAGAACTCAATTTTAGAAGTGAAAAGTTGAAAAACTGAAAGAACTGTGGATGCTGTAAATCAGAAACAAAAACAGAAATAGCTGGAAACACTCAGCTGGTCTGGCAGCATCTGTGAAAGAAGTCAGAGTTAACATTTCGGGTCCAGTGACCCTTCCACTATTGCAGGCTGTGCATTCAGCTGCTTGGGCCTCAAACTCTGGAATTACTTTCCTAAATCTCTCTACGCCTCTTTCCTCCTTTAACACGCTCCTTAAAATTGGCTCCGTGATGAATATTTTGGACTTCTGCCCTAACATCATCCTATGTGGCTCAGTGTTAAAGTTTGTTTGAGAACAATTCTGTGAACCTCCTAGGGACAGTTTGCTATGTACAGTGCCATATAAATACAAGCTGTCATCTTCATCACCATAATTGAAAATACTGGAATTATTGTTTCTGTAATTTAGGGAGTGAGGCAACATAAAAATAACAGAATGTAGAAGACTGTGGCATGGTTTTAATGGAGCCAGCAATGGCAGATTGGCCAGTGATTGTACATCCCTGCCCCTATTTTAATTTCATTGGTCTTGGTGACACGTGATATGTGTTACAACATCTTAACGCAATTCACTGAGGATGGAGTCTAATGAGAAGCTATGGTAGAAATACTGCAATCATAGAAGGAATGATGTTCAGCCTGACTCATACCATACAACTACTATACTTGAACTTCCTAGTTCAAACCACTTTGATCCTCTTCAAAAATAAGATGAAACCATTCCACCTTATCATGGTTAATATGCTTAATGTATGTTTTTTTCAGGCAATGTTAGTACTTTATGAGATGCAAGGTAACATTGAACCTGGTCACTTCTCCCTGCAATTTTAAATTGCCTTAGATCTTGCTCGTTAGTCTCTAGTAAATCTCACCAACTGACTTTCAATCTGTAGAACTTTGCTGCTTTTTTAATCTCAGATGGGGCAGCTAGAAGATAGGGATTTAAACTTCTGGTTCCCTTGCTGCCAAACAAACTGTCATCACAGAATTGACAGCCAACAGCCCACTCTGTGCAGCCAAGAATAGCATCAACTTGTGTGCAAGCCTCATTGGAAATCTGAAATGAGGTAATGAATTTCCTTGTGTCCCCGGTCATGATAATCCAATTTCCACTTCTCATCTTTAACCCCTTTGCTCATTCATACACATATTTATCTATAATGTCAAGCACGGTAGATTAAGTAAGAACATTATCTTGTAAACTAGTGTCTGAACAAGTAACATATTACAACATATGGTCCATTTTAAATTTTGCAATCGTGTCAGCAGATGGCCAGCATTCATAGTACCTTGAAATAAAGCAACACCTGTCAGTCCTCTGTTATCAATGTTTCCATCTGCTGCAAGTACTTACATAGCTATAAACAGCCTGAAAGATTACGCCTGTTCAGTCAGGAGAACCCCGTCAGCCACAGTACATGTGACAGAAGAAACAAGTGGAGGAGAATCATTTGGCCATTATTCCAGTGAGGATTTGGAAACTACTACAGGTAGTCCTTGACTAACACAGTAATTACATTCCTGAAAATCATTGCACTAAGTGAAATTGCATCATTTGAAACAGAATTCCCAAGGAAACTCATGTAAACGTTTGGGTTTCATTCCCGGAATATCAAACAAGTACAAAATGCAAGCTTAAAGCTAATATAAAGCATCAGAACAGACATATCTTGTCGTGTTTCTTGCCTCATGTAAAAGATCGCTTTGTCTGGGGCAAGGCTCTTATCCTAAAGCATTCAAACCATGCCTGATGGCATGTAAAAGTTCCACATCAGGATCATTTGATTTCTTTTTCAAGTCCTCATATGTTCAAAACAAGTAGTACATTTCTTTGATGTTCAATCCAGGAAGCACAAAGTTTTCCCAAATCCTCCTGTTACCTCAGGATGCACACGAACTATCTGAGTTAGATTTAACAGAGGTACTGAGTACATTTGCTACTCGTTTTAGTTTTAAAATCAGGATAACATCAAATTGCAAAGTCAGATCAATGCGATCCAAAACTCTTTGGTTATCCAAGTTTCACTCACCACACTTTCAATTTGGGAGAGCACACCTATTTTAACACTCAGTGGAATTGATTTTCTTTGCCACAATGTCTGTGCTTTCCTGACTAGACTAAATGTACCATGATTTGAATGCAGGCATAGATGTCACTCACATAGGCAATGACTAAAACAAACTAAGCAAACTGGAACTTATCCAGGAGTGCTGAGTTTTGGTGAGCATTTATCCTCTGCATGGTTGAAAGTCAGGTTAAAAACCTCAATCACAAATCAGGTACGTATTATTGCAATGATGTAAAACAAAAACTGTTACGGTAAAACTGTGTTGGTCAAAATTGTGTTAATTAAGGACTATTTGTTCTTCAAATACTGTATTTTAAAGTGCCTCGTATTCATGCAAGTTAAAAAGGTAAAGTGGAGCAAGGAAGATCCTAAGACACTAATAGGGCAGATGCTAATAAACTAGCTTTGATGTTGTATTCTGTTAGACTGCAAGTAATATCTAACTGTTAGCTTGTTTCAGAAACCAATAAACTCCCTTTAACCAAGTGTTGTATTTATCACTCACTGAGGCTAAGCACAGTGAGGTAAGTAAAACAGAGACCTAGTCCCTGTTACAAACATTACTGCAACAGACAGAAGAGGGGATAAAGTTTTACATTTGAGAAATAGAGCCCATTAAGGCACACAATCAGCAAATATCAGAATGTTCGACTGCTGTTCCATAGACAGCAAAATATTTAAACTGGGTCCAATCACACAAAGTCTATCTCCCCCTCTGATCACAGTCTGTTTCTCTCCCATCCAGCTGATCAATTTCTCTCTCTCTCTCGCTATGCCATAATCATAGTCCAACCATCTGCACACCATACCCACTTTCCCATCCATGATCACTCTGCACTGACTGTCCTACCCTCACATTGTTTCATAGCTTTCCTCTTCCAAATGCAAGTGCCCAGCTGGGATGTTGCATTTGGCCAGCTGACAGCACGAAACTGACAATGCTACTTCTGGCAGGAATTCATAGCCGGGCACTGCCGAATTCTCTGGATGTTTTCTTGTCGATGCAGGAGATATGGAACGATGGAACAGTTAAAACAGAGTGCTTCTATTTCCGCTTCATTCTACCATTTTAACACCTGGGATTAACATAAAAGTCTTTAATCGAATAAGACTGAGTACCCGTGTCAATCCATACATCCCTAATAGCATTTTGCTCCCCTGTAATCATGCCAACCAGTGGACGTTTAGTGAAGGCCAGTTTCCTTTATGAAGCCAAGAGAAAAAAAAGCGTTTGTCCTCCCCCAACTGGGCACTTAACCGACATTCAACTGAGAAAACCCTGACACAGCACACCATCAGTAAAGTTCTGTAGACAGGAACTGCGAACAGACATTGTTCAAAACAAGGAAACACAAGTTAACAATTAGGAACTTAGTGCCAGATGGGGAGACAGATAAAACTTTATCATTCAGACTGCTGAGGGCTCAACAGGCAGGACCATAGCTGCACACAGAAACAATGGATTCAGGAAACAACTAAATATCTTTCTGAAGAGGGGAATGGATTGAGGCATTTGGTGAGATGATGGATAGGAGAAATTTAGATCAATTGTAAAAAGGGACTTGTTCAGACCAATGACCAATTCATGTCTTTAAAATTTACAATAAACGATGAACAAGAAATGTTTCAAAAGAATAATTATCATGGAACAGATTACATTCTAAAGTAATGTCTCTGTCCCCTTTCTGTCAGTTCTTCACTATCTCACCTCATTTCCTTGGAAATCTCTTGCAATGGTATTTTTCGGTGAAGAGCTTGATGTGTCATGGCCAGTACGGCCATCCCCAGGCATTCGTTCTCTATTTCATGAAATTCAAACTCATTTTTAGGATCTCGAACAGGTGCAAGACCTTTGATCAAATCATATTGCCCCTGGAAAGAGGAAAGAAAAATTGTAAAAAATAAAAAAAAAGCATACCAGACCCATAATAGCACCAACTGCTAATTAGGATTATTCTCTAAAGTTTGCTATGAAGATGGTCCCGGTCTTTCACATTCACTCACTAATTGTCCGTCTTGATTTTGCTATTTCATTACATTTGCTATTTTGTTACATTTTTCTGTTTTTGTCTGTCTGACTGACTGACTTCCTTTGTTTGACTTTCTGACAATCTCTGGGCAAGGGAGGTAGAAATGCAGGCTCAAAGAAACAAGAACAAGAAAAACTGTTGAAGGTCACGTTTAGTTACTGTTGTACAAGTCATGGTTCTGAAAGAGTTAATATCAAAGATTGCAATAGGCTGCACCCAATCTAGTGATGCCAAACAGTCTTGGGTGGGGAAAAGTGAAGTTAAGTTTGAAATCCTGAAGGGGTCATTTCTGAATCCCGATACCCTTAATAATTATGTCTAAATAGCCAATGCAACTTGTACCTATTGCTATCATGCGAATAAACAACATGTTAAGACAAGCACATCTTCTTGTTGAGGCTCATTAGTGCTTCATCCTCTAAATTTTAATGAGACAGGTCCTTAGATTCAGTCAATAAAGGAGGACTGATAGGGGGAGGTCTTGGCCTGGTACTTTTATCACCAGGCTAGTAATCCAGAACCCAGGTAACATTCAATGAATTTGAATTCAATGAAAATTTGTAATAACATCTAATAACGACATTGTTAATTGTTGGGTAACTATCCAGTTCACTAATGTCCTACAGGGGCTTTTGTGGAACAGTGGTAGTGTACCTACCTCTGAGCTAAGAGCCCTGGGTTCAATTCCTGTCTACTCCCATAGTATATAATATTACCTCTGAGAAGGAGGAATAGTAAGGCTCTTACGGTACAGGGGTAATCATAGAATCCTTACAGTGGCAAGAGAGGCCATTTGGCCCATCAAGTCTGTACTGACCCTCCAAAGGGCATCCTACCGCATACTCCCTTCACCCTATTCCTGTAACTCCGTGTTTACCATGGCTGATCCATCTAGCTTACACATCCCTGGACACTGCAGGGCAACTTAGCATGGCCAATCCACCCAAGTTGCACATCTTTGGACTGTGCGAGGAAACTGCAGCACCTGGAGGAAACCCACGCAGACACGGGCAGCATGTGCAAACTTCACACAGTCACCCAAGACTGGAACTGAACCTGGATCACTGACACTATGAGGCAGTGATGCTAACCGCTCAGCCACCATTACCATCCATAATGCTCCTCCCTCTAGGCTAGAAGGCCTGGGTTCAAGTCAATCCTCTAGCGAGACATTTCCATCACATGTCCAAACAGTTTGATTCAAAATACTTATATAGGATGAGTATGGGGTTTCTAATGGCTCTGTGACAGTGCCCCTGCCTCTAGGCCAGAAGGTCTGGGTTCAAACCCCACTAGACATGTAATACAACATTTCTGAACAGGTTGGTTAAAAATAACCACATAGTTGAGTGGTCTACTATGCCGATTAGAGCTCCAGGCTGTCTGGATGGCTGGGTTCAAATCCTGCAGTTGTGAATTTGTGCTCTTCTGGTGCAGTGATTTATCCCTGCCTCTGAACCAGGAGACTTGGATTCAAATCCTAACTGCTTGAGGACATAACATCTGTGAAAAGGTCGATTATAAATGAACAAAAGCAGAATTAATGGCAGCACCCTACCCCAACCATTAGCTGGTCATGATTGGTTCCAAGAGGTGCTAGGTCAATATAGGTTAGCAGCCTTTGTGCTCCACAGCATCACTAGGGAGGCTGTGGCAGCTGCATTTGTGTATTAAGAAGTTAGTTGTACCACTAATACACTCAACAGCAGCACACCCAGATGAACAGAAGTGCTCACATTAACTTACTGAATAACACCAAGAAATATTAAATAGTTCAGTGGTGTGGAAAAACCATTGGTCAGCAATAACTCCACACAAAGTCAATTGAAGAATTCAAATCCATTGCAAATTGAACTGAAGTTTCTCGAGATTAGGAACCCACTGAATTTGATAAATCCCATTATCAAAATGCTTCTTTGTACCTGAGCAAATAGGTATTCCAGGGAATTTGCATCCAAAAGAGGAGTTCCATTCTCTGTACTTTTGGGATCACAATCATTCTTCTGTTTTCTTACAGGGGAGTGTCTCCAGACTGGTTGCTCATTTTCATTTGATCCGTGCCAGTTTCCAAAGAAGAACCTGCAGAAACAGGGTACGGGAAATCAGATAATGTACGAACAGTGGCACAAAGCATTTAAATTTTCAATGAATGCTACAGACTGCTTAGCACTCTAGTTAATTCTCAGTCTCCACAATTTCTCAATCTTGACTAGAGCATCAATAGGAAAGCACTATGCAGAGTCCTGGCACTTGTTCTACACGGGTTTTTCTTCCTTTTAAAACAACATGGATAATATTACAGCAAGCTGTCTATTTACCATTTGAGGCACAGGGGAGCTGAGAATGCATCCAGTACAGTCGATTTATTTCATCATTACTTGGGGGGAGTATGAAAAAGAAACAGTGATTTGATTTTCAAGGTGTGCGAATACCTGACTTGTACTGAAGTAGAGTGGTAACCATCTTTCATTAACTCATTATCAGTCTATACAGCGAATGTCAGAACTCTGGATGAACAACACTATGTACAATGCCTGGGTCTAATCCTGTTTCACCTTTCCATTAGGCTTCTATGGTTAACCATCAGGAAAGCAAGAACCTTGCCATATTAAAGGAGTTCTGAAAGATCTATGCCAACCATAGCCTCGCTACAGCTATACAGTCGGAGATCAGTTAAGTCCAGGGTTAAACTTGAAATTTTCCTTGCCTAGTTAGTACTCAGCCACTAGACCAGTGGGAAAAGTCACTAAATACCATGGCCAAGTCTTCACGTCCCCAAGTAGTCAGATACCAGACATACCCCACAAGGTAAAGAGGCCCTTTGACTCCCTGGAAGAGTTGATTCAATGCAGGAATTGCCCAGGAATTTTAAACTTCCAATAGGAAATTACCCAGTTACCTTGCATGTAACATGGTTAATAGGCAAGTTCAATTTATACAGAATGCAAAACAAATAGTTGGAAAATCTCAGCAGGTTTGGCAGCATCTGTGGAGAGAAATCAGAGTCAATGTTTTGGGTCCAGTGACCCTTCCACAGAACTGTGTTTTTGTTTGTGATTTCCAGTGTCTGTAGTTCTTTCAGTTTTTACTTACACAGAGTGAGTAATGCAATCTGCACAGATGCTGGGAAGATGAATCAGTGGAGTATGTACATCTTGTTCTGGAATAATATGTTAAAGAACCAGGGAGAAATTGAGCTATTTTAGATTTCATATTATGTAATGGGAAAGTAAAAATTACTAATAATTCTGTAAAGGAACCTTTAGCAATTTGATACCATGATAGTATGATTTTTCACATTAAAATTTAATGTGGTATATTCATTCTGAAACTCGGGTCTTAAATTTGAATAAGAGAAACTATGAAGGTAGGAGGACAAGTGGTCTGAAGCAGATTGGGAGAATATCCTAAAAGGCAGTAAACAGTAGACAGACAATAGCTAGTTTTAAAGAGCCACCACATGGTCAGCAACAGGTGTACATCTCTCTAAGGTGCAAATACTCAACCAGAAAGGCAAATCAACTGTGGCTAACAAAGGAAGTTAAAGATTGCATTTATTCCAGAAGGTGATTACTGAGGATGCCGAAGACAGACAGGCACAAGGACTGGAAGCAATTTAGAACACCGAAAAGGACAAAGAAAATAAATAAAGGACAGGAATAGAGAATATGGATGTAAGGTAGGCAGAAACAAGGGCAGATTATAAAAGCTTCTGTAGGTAGGTGCAAAGTAAAAGATTAGCGAGGATAAATGTGGATCCATGATATGAGATAATTTATACTGGAGAACAGGGAAATCGCAGAGAAACCAAGAAATTATTTTGTGTCAAACTGCACGGTGCAAGTTTCAGAAAATCTCTCAGAAATAATAAGTAACCCATGGACTTGTGAAACTGAGAAACTGAAAGAAATTAGTACTGAAGTGCAAGTTGATAACCTTAATTGGATTCAGGGTGGCTAAATCCCCTGGAAAAGATGAGCAACATCCCAAAGTGTTGATGGAGATGGCTACATGGATAAAGTAAATAGGCAGGAAAATGGCAGATGGAATATAACGTGAATAAAAGTAAAGTTGTTCATTTTAGGAAGAAACACAAAGGCAGAATATTCCTTATATCATGAGTGTTTGGGAAGTGTTAGTCCCCAAAGGAACATGTGTTCTTGTTTGAGAGTCACTAAAAGCTAGCACACAGGTGCAGTGAGCAAAGAAGTCCAACGGTGTGCTGGCTTTATCACAAGAGGATTTAAGTACAGGAGTAAAGACATCTTGGTCAGACTGCACCTGGAGCAGTGTGTACAGTTTTGGTCTCCTTAGCCAAAGAAGGATATACTTGCAATAGAAGAAGCACAATGCAGTTTCACTAGATTAAAGCCCAGGATGACAGGATTGTCTTATGAGGAGAGGTTGAGGAAACTGGTTCTGTATTCTCTAGAGTTTCGAGGAATGAGATATGATCTCATTGAAACTTACAAAATTCTTACAGGCTGCGACAGGTTGGATGTAACAGGTTGGTGAATCTAGAAGCAGAGATTTAATCTCCGAGTAAGGACTAGGCCATTTAAGACAGAGGGGTGGAATTCCTTCATTCAGGGGATGATGTATATTTGCCATTGTCTACTCCAGAGGATGTTTCAGCTGAATCACTGAGCAGGTTCAAGATGAAAATCGATAGATTTCTGGAGACTAATGACATCAAGGATTTTAGTAACAGTGAAGGAAAGAGGCAAGAGGATAGATGGTCAGCCATGACCTAATTGAATGGTGGAACAGACTTAATGGGCTGAATGGCCTACTTCTGTTTGTGCATCCAGAAACCTGCAAAAAAAGTCTCCAATTCAGTAACTATCAGAGTTCAGAAGTTTCTAACTCACTTGACAAGATAGTTATTCAGAAAGTATTACACTAATAAAAACCAGTCGGACTTCTGGGTAACAATACAACTGATGCACCTCCTCAACTGCCTTTCTCCCATCCAAATCATCACCCAACCACAACCCCCTTACCACCCAACCAGCCTGCCATCTTATCAACTTCACACCCTGCTACTCTACCACTTACCAAGACATTACTCTCAGCCAACTCTCTTACCTGATCTACCTAAATAACTAAACATTCACACTTACACAACGAGAAGTTCTAAAATATTTAAATCCTCATCTACCAGAATACAGCAGCTGATGCCATAAACTGAGGGGCAGGAGGCGTGGTGGTGACTTGGCCTCTCCTGCACTGCATGGAGGTTTACCCAGTTTTCTATAAGAGGCTCAAGAGGGCAACCTGCACTGGAAGTCTGGCCTGAAAAGATGCAAGTGAGTACTATGTATTTTTTTCCTGTGATTAGCATTAGTCAAACTGTTCCGAGGGTATTCAGAAGATTTGGGTCCATAATATTTTCTCAATGATGGCTATGTATTGGAAAGTATGCTTTCCTTCCATCACAAGGTTAGAAGTGAGATTACACAAGCTTCATTACCATTCTCTACTCATCTGATATTCAGCAAGATCTGGACAATATCCAGGTTGGGCTGACAAGTAACAAGTAAATCTCACACAAGAGCCAGACCATGACCATCTAACTACTGCCCTTTGATATTTAATGGCATTATCTGCAGATTTCCCCACTATGAACATCTTGGGGGTACCATTGACCAGAAACTGAAATGGATTAGCCATATAAATACAATGGCTACAACAGCAGGTCAGAGATTAGGAATTCTGCAGCAATTAACTCACCTCCTGACTCCCCAAAGCCTGTCCACCATCTACAGGGCACAAGTCTGAAGTCTAATGGAATACGCCCACTTGCCTGGATGAGTGCAACTCCAAAAATACTCAAAAAGCTTGACACCCTCCAGGACAAAGCAGCCCAGTTGATTGGCACCCCATCTACTGCCACCGCCTGGACAATGTTGGTACATCAGAGCCCAAAAACAAGGGCTTGGGGTACTAGGAGCCTGCTGTGCTCAGGTCAGAGGCAGGGCCAGGGCCCCAATTTCTGTCCCTGCCCCTATTTACCACCTTCAACTTTCACTGTTGCCACTGTGTATTGGTGGTGAAGGCAACATGTACCATCTAAAAGACTCACTAAGACTCCTCTAACACCACCTTTCAAACCCGTAACCTCTGCCAGCTAGAAGGACAAGGGCAGGAGGTGCAAGGGAACACCACCATCTGCAAGTTCTCCTCCCAGCCAGACTTCACTACAACTTGATAGTATATCATTATTTCTTCATTGTCACTGGGTCAAAATCCTGGAACTCCCTTCCAAACAGCGCTGTGGATGTACCTATGCCCCTATTGTGGTTCAAGGCAGCAACTCAGGAGCAGTAAGGGATGGCCAGTAAATATCAGCATAACCAGCGATGTCCATATACCATGAATAAAACAAAACAGTTACATACTTTAACAAGAAGCTTGTACAAGGCTGATACAAAAGCATTTCTATCAAGTCTGGGTCGTCCCGATAAGCAGATAGTGTCAAATATTTACAAAGTCTATTTATAGTAAAAACCACTAAACACTGTACACATCTGTAAATAGCTCTTTCATATTAGCTGGAACCAAGCTAATAACTTTAAAGGGAGAAGTTAGTTTTATGTGTACACTTTGTCAGTTACTTCTCTTGTTTACAATTTGCATCATCACTCCATGTTTGGAAAAGGACACCATATTTCTCCATGAAACCCTTATAAAGCAACAAATTGGATGTAAATATTGTGGATCATTCTGATGATATGGTGAGGTGGAGCTTAACTGAAAGCTCACCAACTATTCCTTTTAAGGTTTCTCTCAGATCTGATGAATTGCAACATTTTATTTCCTTTTTTCAGGTTAAGAGCACCTGAGGCACAGGCATTTTGTATTAGTTCCTCCAATAAGAACATCAAAGTTCATCTTGATTGACGTCATTAAGCATTTAAAGTACAGCAAACACTCCAGAGATTTACAACTGATAATTCCAGCTTTTAACTGCTGAGAAGATGTACTATTAATCCCAAGGAAAGAGAACAGCAAGCAAGTCAAAGATGAGAATTTAAGAGCAAAAGGAATAGTTGTGAATTAAAAGTCATCTTCAGCCCATCTTTTTCCTCATCTTATATTAGCTTCCAGTAAGTGTTAACACACCATAACATGAAATCTTCATGCCTTTACTTCTGCATAAACTTGTATGAGCTTTACTCAGAAGAATACCAGTGTGTCTGTTCATATGTGCGTGTCTGTCAATTTGTATGTACGTGTGTTCCCATGTGTCCATGCTAGAGAAAATTAGTAGATATCTTCATGACAGAGTTTCCAAAGATATAGATGCTCAGACTCCTACAAGAGAGGACTGGGTTTATTGATTGAGAAGGCTGTACTCTCCTCAGTGGTACACCTCAGCAAACTGGAAATAAACAACAGGAGCATGGGAAGAGAGAAATGTGGGGTTAACATTTCTGATATTATAACTTTTTGAGCTTTAGGAGTTCTGATGATGGTTACGAGACCTGAAACATCAACTCTACTTCTTTTCACCCCAGTTGTTGGCTGCTATGCTGGAAGATTCTGCAATTTTTTGTCTTTATTTCAAATTTCCAGCATCTGAAATTTTTTGCCCTATTAGTAAAAACAGCAAGGCAGTCAATCAAGTTTCACCAGGAAACTAATTCAAATGTCCAGTACAGATTTTTAAAAATGCTTAATAACAGAAAACAAATCATGGTAAATTATTTATCTGATTGAAGGTTGATAAACAGTGGTAATCTCTGGATATCAGAATACAGAGAAAACTTCAAAATTGCCAATAATATAAAATGTGAAAATATGTCAAACAATGCTATCAATCTACTGGCACAGACCAGTGATAAGCTGGCAGAATGCGCAGACCAGTGCCAGATGGAATTTAATGCAGAAAAACATAACGTGGTGCATTTTGTCAGAAGTGACAGGGATTCCTAGAGAGTGTGCATGGACGGAGAGCCTGGGCATTTATGCGCATAGATCTTTCAAGATGGCACATATAGAGAGACTGGTTATCAAAGAATGTGGGATCCTGGGTTTCATAAATAGTGACATGGAGTACAAAAGCAGGATGTTATGATGAACTTGCACAAAGCTCTGGTTAAGCCAAAAGTTAACATTTGTGTTTAATTCTACTTACCACGCCTCAGGAAGTAAGACAGGACAGAGTGCAGAGGTGACTTACCAGACATCTCCAGAGGGATGTTAGCTACAAAGGTTAGGTTGGAGAAGTTGAGGTTGTTGTCATTAGAGTAAAGGGTTTGGAGGAAAGATTTGATAGAGGTCAACAAGATTGTAGCAGGCTTAGGTAAAGTAAACAAAAAATAAAGACTGTACCCATTAACTGATGTTACAAGACCCGAGAGACATATTTAATGCTTTTTGGCATAAAAAATGCAGGAGGACAGAGAGAAATAACATTTTTTTAAAATGTAGCAGTTGATAATGGCCTGGAACTTGCTGCTTTATGAGGGTGGATGAAATGGAAACTGAGCTATTTCAAAAGGAAATTTGATGGGGACTTGAGGTGTGAGGCTATATGGGTAGTGAAGGGAAATGGGATTAATTGGTTTTCTTTAGAGAGCCAGAATGGACTTTAGGGGCTGACAGGCCTCTGTCTGAATTTTAATGACACCATGACCTATCCATCCTTGTTCCATAGATGATGGTGTTGGTCCTGAAGGGGGATTATTTAGGGTAACATTATATGTGAATGCAATTTTATACGTAAATGTTACCCTGAATGATTTCCTTCAATCACCAGACTCTATTAGGGAGTTCTTGGAAACCTTTGGAAGTTAAACAAGACTCTTACATAAGTTTTAAAACATCTGTTACCTAGGTCTTTCAACATCTTCATTTTTGTAAAATACTTCCCTTTTCTCCAACTGGAGAAAGATCCAAATCAAAATGGTGACAAAACAGACAGCCCAGTAGAGCATTCTGCCAGCTATGGTCTTATGCCTGATCTCCTTCAAACTCTATTTTGTGTATTTTGTTGTTTTCTTCTCTCAATATCACTGTGGGCACTGAATTTGTTTTTCCCATATTATTTATCCTGAGCTCAAGACTCAAAATATGTTACTGTACACATGACAGGCTGAAAGGTTTCCATGTCAAAGTCAGTCCCAGTTCCAATCGATAACAACTCTCCCATGGATTATCATAGAATCCCTACAGTGCAGAAACAGGCCTTGAACAGGGAAAATACTTTTGTCATCAGCCAATGACTTCTGGTGGAATCAACTGCGTGGGTAGAATTTTATTCTCTTCTTCTGAGGAGGCAAGGTTGGAAAGAGTCTTTTAATTGAGCAAGACAATGCTCTCTGAGGACCCAGAGGCCTTTACATGGGTCAAAAGGGCTGGGCTTTTGCATAGTATCTCCCTCTCCATTGTCAATTAAGGACCATAGGGAATTGATGTCCACTCCACCCGAGGGTTTCATCCCACCATCACTGGAATGCAACCAACATCAGTCAGTCACTACTGTGTGGAGCCTAAGAAACAAATCATCTTTACTTGATGAGCTTCCATGGATGGTCCTGTGTTGTGGTATTAAGGGTGGTGGTTGGGGGAGGAAAGAGTCAAAATTATTCTAACATAGGAGGTCGTCGTTTGGCCCATCATGACTTCAACAAGCCCACTAAAAGCAAGCTAATGCCCCTATTCCAGATCCTGGGCTCCTGACAGGTGTATTGCAAACACTATTCCCTCAATGGTACTGCAAGCAATGAGGAGCTGCTGGCTTCTGTTCAGAGATTAGCTCTTGGGGGAGCTAGGGTCCTTGATTTGAGTGAAGATATGATGTTGGCTACTTAGCTCAGCAGGTCTTCCTCAAAACGAGGCAACAGAAGGCTCTCACCAGCAGGAAGATCCTGTCCCTTCAATTAATTTCCACCCCATACCCACACATTGCAACATTTTGGTCCATCCTTAGAAGTTTTTCATGAACGAAGCATCAGTCATCATGATGTACAAGTTTAAACCAAAAAAAAAGTTCACTGAAAAGGGAGTCAATGGAGGAAATTTGAAATACGTTTTTTTTAAAAAGATCAGCACTTCCCCACCTAGAAACTGAATGGACTAAATAACTTCTGGCATTTGACATTTGTCACAGTATGATAACAAAAGCATATTCATATCCTACCTCATCCGAAAATGTAGCTTCAAGGCTGTTTGCTCCTCGACTTTGAAGATGTGATTGGGTGAAAACCACAGTTTTTTATTGGGGTCATAAAGAGTGAAGAGATTCTGACATAATGGAGAAATTCCTGATAAAAGAAACATTTAAAACATCATCTCAAGTATGAAGTGAATTCAAGCATACCATGAAACATTCATAACTGTATGGAGATAAAGTACTTTTGAATTTAACTTGAACACAAGGTATGAAATAACCAAAGTTAAGTCAGCCCATCAACCAAATTTTCCATTTCTAATCATTAATCAGCAGACTCTTCTCCCACCCCAGTGTCTTTGGAGTTCAAAGCTGGGAGTTGGCACAGACAAAAGCTGCTCAAGAGCAGGGCTCATGCAAGTGATTGGATGCTGGAGCAGTCTTGTATACCCAGTGGCGTGCAGTCTTGGCAGTAGAGACTATTTAGCTTAGACCAGTTGTTGGACAAGTCTCAGCTGGTATCTAGTTGCCTGACAATTCCACAGAGGCAGAAGTAGCAATACAGCTTCCAGGCTGAGGTGGAGCTACGGCTGAGGGCAATCAGACGTTACATACGCAAAGGAGAGGAGATGAAATCCTTTAGGAGGAAGATAGAGTTTAAAGGAATTTTGTGACTCAGTGATCACTGATGCCTGGGTAGGTTGCTGAGGAAATTTGTGGAATCTACCTTGGTTGTGCCTGCCAATCAATGTGGAATTTGTGACCATAGTTTGCCTGTTAATTCATATTCACATGTTCATTCTGCTTTTTAGAGTATAAGATACGAAGAACTGATTGTTTGCTTTGTTGACTCTTGTACGGTAAAAAAAAAAAACTTGTTTCTATAAAACATGGAATCTTATGCTTGGTTCTTCTAGTAATTACCTGGGATTTCAAATTTCAATCTACTTTACCAAAAATAACTAAATTAGGAACTTGTCTGGGATCATAACAGCTTCACTCTACATTGCGAATTGGAGCAGACTCAAGGTCAACTTGATCAGAGTTCATAAAATAACAACAATTTTAACTGAGAATGTTGGGAACAATGAGGCATGGTGTTTATTAAAGATATGCAAGGGTTGAACTCATTTAGATGTCATACAGCTCTTCATTTTCTAAAGAATGGTGGACCTATAGAACATACTCCTGGCTTGGGTGCTGATTGTGGACTTGCTTAGTCTTTCAAGCAAGATTAGTCTCCTGAGTTAATTTTATTGGCCTACAGAAGTTGCAGAGGAATTTTAACAGTTTTTGCATCCTCTCATTATCTCATGACATGGCTGAAGTAGGTGGAACGTCAATGTGAAGCTTTACAGCTGTGAAAGCCAGGTACACCACAAACTGTCCTCCTTATAAGCTCACATGCTGTTAGCAGGAGATTATAAAAGTGTTCCCATGAAACTTATATCCATGTTCTTACCACATTTCTTGGCGGCTTCAATGCACAAGTCTTCAGCAACATGCTCACCATCCTGGTATTTTATGGAAGAATTTGACACGTACATGTAAACTTCAATGCCTTTCTCTGGAGTTGTTGCGGGTGCTTGCAACATGTTTGATTTTCTTTTCTTTAGGCAAAAGGCCATGGTTCGAGTCCACTTACATTTAAATTCTGCAGAAAGATTCAAATCGTTAATGTATTTCTTTGCTCAGTGTACAGAAAGAAACATGAAGCACGACAGAACTTGTACAATGCACAGCTTAGCACACTGTCCTTTAACCTCTGCAACTCAAGCAGGCACTTTTGCAACATCAAGTGTAATGCTGATTGTGTTCCAGCCAATTTTGCTCAACATTGAAGTCAGAGTGATAGTGGGTGGGGTGTAAAACACACCACCCAATTCTGCACATTCCCTGTTTTAAGATCATTGAGGCCAGGCTTAAGGATGCAGATCTGTGGAATGTAAGCAAAAGGCCAGATTTGTTGGAAAATGTTTGTAAAATGTATAGTGTACATCATTTTCACATTTTGACAGTGGATGAAAGGACTTAGACTGCAGACCAAGGAAATAGAGCATAGGTAGCCAATGGGGGAGGGGGGGTGGTGAGTAATTAGAAAGGCAGGCTGATCAAAGGGCCGATCTTGGTTCTGTGGGACCATGTCTAAATTTTGTTTCAACACTGTTAGGCCCTGTTAGCTACTAGCGTTCCCCTCCAGGCTGCGTGTCCATACAGCCTTTTGGCAGATTCACACATTGACTTCTGGTTCTGGAGATCACTTCTGCCATACAGCAGCAGAGAAGAATGGGAACACAGTGTGTAGCATTTCCTCCTCACACCAACTCATGCCTGTCCATCCAGCTCTATATGCCTTATACTCTAGATGCCAACTCTTCGCCAATTTGTGATAACCATGGCACCTATTACCTCACCTAGTCTCCACCATGAGTAGACCTCAACTGCCATGTGGAGACGAAACAGAATAAGCTTCTAATAATCTAACACATCTCTCAATCCTATATACTTGTTTAAAAAATCCCATTTTTAAGCCTATTCAAAGCTTTTAAATCTCAAATGGTTAACTTCTTATAAAAACAGACATCTAGTCTGCTACGCTTTAAGAGTTAATTTAAGTTGTCAAATTGTGAGCTCAGAACTTCTGGCTGAGATGATTAAATATTTTGATACTCAGCCAAACATTCGTAATGATGTAATAATAGCCCCAAAGGGAAATGTCCATGAGCTGTATCAAAACTGCATTAGCAAATGCAAAATGCGTTTTTACCTCACATACACCTGACAATACAGTCCAGCAGAATTTTTTTTTGTTTTAAAATGTTGCCTGATTTTAAAAGTGTGACATTTAAAAAATCTTTAAGATCATAACAGTGATACAGACTTTATCTTTTATTCCAGAGCATTTACATCTAATCCATCAATTCATGACTCCCACCCTGCAGGTTAAGCCCCTTGCAACAGTCAGTATAAGGTCGGTTTTGAATCTTAGCTGAATTAGCGATTCATGCCTGTGTATGAGTGTATGTGTATGATGTCATGTACTCTGTCTCCTATCGGTGAAAATGGTTTTGGACAGGCTTCTCAATCCAGCTCCCAGCCATCATTTTGAAAAGACTGTGCAGACTTCACAAGTCCATGAAAATCCAGCTCATAGTTTTGAGACATAAGCATGTCTTTTGTTCAGATTACAGGAGATTCCGGAATTTACCCAAATTAGCAAAATTCACTGGAATATTTTTTCCATAATTTAAAATGTTGACAGTAAAAAAGGTACACTGGAAAATGACGCAACTGGGAAAACATTTTTGATCTCCCAAGTTAGAGAAATGTTTTCCTCCCTCTAAAAGGCCTACTACATTAACCAGTACAGTCAGACCAGTGACATCCCTGAACGCTGGTAGACCCTAAGAGACAGTGTTCCCAGAATTGACTGTCTAAAGGAATCACAATAGCGGGTTCTCAGAACCCCTTGCTGAGATAATTAATTATTTTGATACTCAGCCAAAAGGTACTTTTCATGGCAACCAAAAGAACTACAGATGCTGTAAATCAGGAACAAAAACAGAAGTTGCTGGAAAAGCTCTGGCAGCATCTGTGAAGAAAATATCAGAGTTAACGTTTCAGGTCCAGTGAACCTTCCTCAGAACTGAGCAGATGCTGCCAGACCTGCTGAGTTTTTAAAGCAACTTCTGTTTTTGTTCCTAATTTCATGGCAATTAGGGATCAGCAGTAAATACTGGCTTAGCCAAAGGCTTCCACATCCCATGAATAAATAAATGATTAAAACCTCAAGCTTTCTCCCATCCTACTCATTTCTTCCAGTTTCAGCTCTCCCTCCTCCTCCTTCACCATTGACAGGTATAGTTACACTTTAGCGGTTTACACATTAGTTATTTTCCTCACTTCGGTGTCTCAGACACATCCTGTAGGATAGTTCTTAGCTTTAGAAACTTGACTGTCGAAACAGTTTAGAAATTAACCTTCAGGTTCTCAATACACAAGTAATTTGTAGCAGGGACCAACAGTAAATCTTCAGATTAAATACACATTCACTTTTTGCTGCATAGTTCTAAACATACCACTACTATATTTTGGTTTGCTAATTATATCACACACCTTTACATTGGACTTCCGAACAGAGCATAATACATATTCCACTAGGTTGCAGTTTAGGTGATAAGTGAAATAGTGATAATTTTTCACTCTCGATTTACAGTCTTCAACTGTTCAAGCCTGTTGCACCAAACTTCCACATGAACAGATTCCGATCAAGACCCCAAAAATAGTGAGGCAGTTAATTGCTGAGTATACAATAATTATTACCGGTCTCTCCAAAAGCTTATTCGCACTCCCATCGTCTTGGCCCCTAAAACCTTACGTCTTTTGAAGACTTTAGACAAAATTCCAAATTGGATCAAAGACCAAGATCTAGTTTTCAAAATTCACCAGGATAGGTGAAATATAAAAATGCATCCAAGTAGGAACAAGAGGGCACTGCAGAGGAGGGGAGAGGTGCTCTGAAACAGTTTGTCTAGCAGCATGAATAGGAAAGGAAAGTAACCCGCTATTGTGATTTCTTAAGACGGTCAATTCCGGGAAGACTGTCTCTTGGGATCTACCAGCATTCAGGGATGCCACTGGTCTGACAGTATTGGCGATTGTAGCAAGTTGTCAAAATGTTTGAACTGGGTGGAGAGGTAGATTAGGATCCACAGTCTTAAATCGGTTTACTCCACGCATCTATTCCAGACTTTGTTTTGTATTCCTCAACCTACTTTGTGTTCTTTAGGCTAGTTTTAATGCTAAATGCAATAATATAATTTAGAACTATGTAACAGACACCAGCGAGTATGCATTAAGCAATAGACATTATCTCAAAGCTAGCAAAAAGTACTGAATGTTGGGGAAAAGGTGACTTTCACAAAATAGGAGTTAGATTGAACAATTTAGAGGACAGGCCAAATATTGATAAATCGAGACAGACTTAAAGAACTAAGTCAGCACAGTTCCAGAACAGGGTGCATCAGATTGGCAGCACTATGTGCCAGCTTGGATAGAATGCAAATTCAAACTTAAAACCTCGGGCAAAAATTTAGCCTAAGTTTCAGAACGCAAAACGTAGTACAGGCATTTATGATTGAAGTTTGACACTTTATAGGCATGTTACTTTATTTTTACAATGTTGTTGCTGCTAATTTCACTGCAAATATATTTAATAAAGTTAAATCGTGTCAAATATTTTATGCGAGTTGATTGGTGTGCTCTGTCCTGTTCTAAAGAAGGGTCACTTGGACCCAAAACATTGACTCTGCTTTTTCTCCACAGATGCTGCCAGATCTGCTGTGTTTCTTCACAATTTCTGTTTTTGTTCCAGAATGTTATAACTTTCCAGAAGGCAGCACATCGCTGGTAACACCAGCATTTATTATCCATCCCTAACTGCCTTCAAGGAAGAGATTGTGATCTGTCTTCTGAACCACTGCAGTGTTGTCATTGGGCTCAGTAGCAGGCTAAATTAAAAGCAACCACATTCGTGATTTGAAGTCAGATTTAAAGCGGGTCAGATAAGAATGACAAATTTCCCTCTCAACAGAACATTCATAAATCGATGATTTATCATCATAATCTAGAACCTTCTTGATCAACATATCTTTGGAGAACATTACCCATGTAATAATTACAGCTTTAAAGACAAACTGAAGAGTTGAGGTAATGGGGAGAACATTCCTTTGTGATTACATCATGAATCAATAAATGTAAATTGTACCAGCTTCTTATTCTAGATTTATTTCCCAACTATCATGGTGGAATTGTCTCTCCAGTATGTTTGTCCAGGCCCCTTACCATCCTGTTAACATATCCAGGGTAGAGTAAATTAAGGTAGGCGATAGCCTTGTGGTATTATCTCTAGGCTATTAATCCAGAGACCCAGATAATATTCTGGGGACATGGGCTCAAATCTCACCATGGCAGATGACAGAATTTGAATTCAAGTGATAATCTAGAAATAAGAATCTAAGGATGGTCATGAAACCACTACCAATTGTCAGGAAAAAAACTAATGTCCTTAAGAGAAGGAAAATCTGCCATCCTTATCTGGTCTGGCCTACATGTGACTCTAGATACACAGCAATATGGTTGGCTCTTAACTGCTTTTTGGACAATAATTGCTCAGCTACCCAGTGATGCTCATACCCCATCAATGAATTAAAAATAAACCTACAATGATATCATTTCCTGGTTAACTTGCATTTTTGAGTAGGCAGCTAGAACGCTCACAGAGTCCTGCTTTAAATGTGCAAATCAGGATTCAACTGTGATTTTAGTTTTGGTTCTATGTGATACTTCATATCACACCAAACCTGCTGAGGGCCGGAACAAAAAACCTGGGTAGATAAGAATTTTATGTTTTTACAACTTTTCTTGTGATCTAGTAGTTTTTTGCCTCACCTCACAAAGATGCCTTCAGCATTCTTTATCCTGGGTTTCACGTCTCTCACCAAATTGCAATTGATCTGCCACTCCCCACTACATTTAATGGGTCACCAGAGACTGGGGACATTTCACATGGATTCCTGAAAACTACCTCTTGCAAGTGAAATCACCATCTCCATCCAGGTGGAGAATCCTGCTTACATTTCGGAGGAATTCTTA